CTGGTCCATATCGTTGTTCTTTCTCGCCTTGACTACTGCAATCCCCTTCTCAGTGGTCTTACGTGTTCCCAGATTGCACCGATGCAATCTATAATGAATCCGGCAGCGACGCTCACTTTCCTGTCTGCCCACACCTCCCATGCCTCCCCCCTCTGTCAGTCCCTTCATTGGCTTCCACTTAGATATAGGGTTCAATTTAAGATTCTAGTGCTTGCTTATAAGTCCCTACATAATGCTGCTCCAACCTACCTATCCTCCCTAATATACAAATATGTCCCGTTGAGGCCCCTGCTCTCTGCCGAAGACCTATCCTCTGTCCGTACTCCCACATCTGATGCTCGCCTCCAAGACTTCTCCAGGGCTGCACCTTTTCTGTGGAACTCCCTTCCCTTTTTCGTTAGACTTTCACCCAGTCTCCACTCCTTCAAAAAATGTTTGAAAACACTCTTCTTTAGGAAAGCATATAATTTAAACTGTTAGCGGGTTTTCATTCCCCACCCCCCCCATGACCCCTCTCCTGCAACTGTCAAAAATAACCTACTAAGTTCTCAGTGATTACTTTTCTAACAACCTATTTCATTAAACCTACTTATACCCTTTGTGTCACTATACCCCACTCCCTCTAGCATGTAAGCTCATTGAGCAGGGCCCTCAACCCATCTGTTCCTGTGCGTCCATTTGTCTGGTTACAATTACGTGTCTGTTAGTTCACCCATTGTACACCACTACGGAATTTGCTGGTACTATATAAATAATAAAATAATAATAATAACATTAATAATAATAATAATACTACATTATATATACCGTATTTTTCGCTCCATAAGACGCACTTTTTTTCCCCTCAAAAGTGAGGGGAAATGTCTGTGCGTCTTATGGAGCGAATGTGAAGAATTACTTACCTGTCTTGGAGCGTGGGCCGGCTTCACAGCGCGCTCCGCGGTCCAGGAACTTTTATTTCAGGTTCCGGTTTCCGGCGGGACTGAAAAGGAGATACACTAGTGTGCACTTCCTTCGATCCCTTGGCGCTAATATTAATTCCTGGACGGCGGGCCTTCGAAAAACGCCTCAAACTGAAACAAATAATATGGACAAGGGAGGGAAACACTATGGGACAAGGGAGGAGACACTATGGGAGAAGGGGAGGGGACACTATGGGAGAAGGGGAGGGGAAGACACTATGGGAGAAGGGGAGGGGGAGACACTATGGGACAAGGGCAGGGGGGGGACACTATGGTAGGGAAAGTGCACTATGGGACAATGGGAGGGGGGAACACTATGGGATCAGAACACTAATGGACAAGGGGAGGAGGGGTTAAAGAACACTATGGGACAGGGTAGGAGGGGTTAAAGAACACTATGGGACAGGGGAGGAGGGGTTAACAATCACTATGGGACAGAGGAAAGGGGGGTTAAAAGATCATTATGGGACAGGGGAGAAAAAAAAATATTCTGAACAAACTGTCCCATAGTAAGAAACACTATGGAACAGTTTGTTCAGAATATTTTTTTTTTCTGTGTTTCCTCCTCTAAAAACTAGGTGCGTCTTATGGTGAGGTGCGTCTTATGGAGCGAAAAATACGGTAAATAGGATGCTTTTTGATAAGTTGATGATTAGATATATTTAGATATATGGCCATATTGTGTTAAGCCCACCACTACTTCAAAGTACCCGAATATCACTGGGTCCTACGCTAATTCTACCATGGGAGAAAAATTAAATAGTGCGAGTGCTAAATAAGTAAAAGTGTATTTTAATAATCTGTTGTAAGAACTTTTTTATATACTTTTACAGTTACCAATTTCTGTTATTTTTTATTGTAAGAACTTTTACAACAGATTATTAACCCTTTAAATCCGGAGGGCGTACTATTACGCCCTGCAGGAGCCGGCTCTAAACGCCGGCGGGCGTAATAGTACGCCCTCACTTTAATGGCCGCCCACGTGGCCGGCGCTAATCGCCCGCTGCAGATCGCGGTCGGGGGGGTTGCCTGGCCCCCCAGGCAACCCCCCCTGTGGCCGGTGACCGCGATCTGCAGCTTCTGATCGCAGTGACAGGCTGTCACTGCGATCAGTATTTAACGTGTGTCAGCCGATTTCAAATCGGCTGACACACGTGGCCAGCGGCTCTCCCCTGTGCAGATCGCGGTCGGGGGACTTACCTGGCCCCCCAGGCAGTCCCCCTGGGGTCAGTGACCGCGATCTGCACTGTCTGAGATCGCAGTGACAGGCTGTCACTGCGATCTCAGAGCGCTCTGATCGCAGTGACAGCCTGTCACTGCGATCAGTGTTACATGTGTCAGCCTATTGGCTGACACATGTAACTGGCACAAAGATGCCCCTGCAGATTGGAAGGGGGGAGTGCCTGTACCACCCAGGCACTCCCCCCTGTGGCCAATTACCCAATCTGCAGGAGGTGATCACAGTGACAGGCAGTCACTGTGATCACTGATCCTGTGTGTCAGCCAGTGATGTAAAATCACTGGCTGACACTGTCTCTGCCCCCTCTCCTGTAAAAAAAATAAAATATTAGTTTAAATTAAAAAAAAAAATTACAGTTACATATAAAATATACTTAGATCATATATATTATATATATATGATCTAAGTATATATATATATATACACACACACACACACACATTTACACATACACGAAGTGTATTTAAATATTAATAGATATAATTATTTATATATATATTACTATCAAATTACACGTAGACTGATACTGATTAAATATATATATATATATATATATATATATATAATTATTGTTATATATATATATATTTATATATAATATAAAAAAATTTAAATACGTAAAAAATAAAAAAAAATAAAAAATTATTAAAAATAAATAATAAAAAAATATATAGATGTTTGTTATTTCGTTCTAACTGTATTGTGATATTAATATATATATATATTTATATAAAAATACACGTAGAACGAAATAATATATATATCTATATACATAAATATATATGTTTATATCACTATATATATATATACACATATATATAAATACAAATATTAAAAAATATATATATATACACATATATATTCACATACGTATATATATACACATATTAATTCTACACATATATTTATGTAATATTTTTACATAATTAGGTATCCTAATTAATTACAATTAGCGGGACCTGACTGACAACCCATGCCAAAAGTATAGGGAATTTAATTTGCTAGCACTATATTTAACCCTATAACTTTCCAAGACACCATAAAACCTGTACATGGGGTGTACTGTTCTACTCGGGAGACTTCGCTGAACACAAATATTAGTGTTTCAAAACAGTAAAATGTATTATAACGATGATATCGCCAGTAAAAGTGAAGTTTTTTGCATTTTTCACGCACAAACAGCACTTACACGGACGATATTATTGCTGCAATACTTTTTACTGTTTTGAAACACAAATATTTGTGTTCAGCGAAGTCTCCCGAGTACAACAGTACCCCTCATGTACAGGTTTTATGGTATTTTCAAAAGTTACAGCGTCAAATATAAGGCTTGTGTTTCATTTTTTTCACATTAAAATTCGCCAGATTGCTTACGTTGCCTTTGTGACCCTATGGTAGCCCAAGAATGAAAATTACCCCTATGATGGCATTCCATTTGCAATAGTAGACAACCCAAGGTATTGCAAATGGGGTATGTCCAGTCTTTTTTAGTAGCCACTTCGTCACAAACACTGGCCAAAATTGGCGGTTTTTGCATTTTTCACACACAAACAAATACTAACGCTAACTTTGGCCAGTGTTTATGACCAAATGGCTACTAAAAAAGACTGGACATACTCCATTTGCAATACCTTGGGTTGTTTACTATTGCAAATGGTATGCCATTATGGGTGTAAATTTAATTCCTGGGCTACTATACAGTCTCAAAGGCAACGTAACCAATCTGGCGAATTTCAAATGTAACGTGCTGTATTTGACCCTGTAACTTCCCAAAACACCATAAAACCTGTACATAGGGGGTACTGTTTTATACGTGAGACTTTGCTGAATACAAATATGTGTATATTATTGCAGTAAAAGCAAACAGTATTATGACATTGACAGTTAAAATGTCATGTAGAACTAAAAAAAATAACAAAATTTCTTATTTTCTACCATTTTTTTCATATTAAATTATGTTTCATAGCTAAATATTTGATATTAAATGAAAGCCCTGTTTCCCCTGAATAAAATGATATATAATAAGGGTGGGTGCATTTACTATAAAAGAGGTGAATTATGGTTGGACAGACATGTAGCGCAAATGCCAGGTTTTGTTTACATTTTGTTTTGTTCACAACGTGTACATTTGGCTCCGTCCTTAAGGGGTTAAAATACACTGCAACGTACTTAGCACTAGCACTCTTTGATTTGTCTCCTACACTGGAATTAGTGAAGGACCCACCGATATTGGGATACTGTGAAGTAGTGGTGGGCTTAACACACTATGATATGGCCATATGGAGACCATGAATCCCCATATTTGTTTGCTGAGATACGTGATTTTAATTAGCCTTATAAAATAAAAAATAGATTTGTATGTGTGCCCTGCTCCTTCTGTATGATGTATATATTTTGCTCTCTATGGAAGCACCATTCCTGTGAAATGCATGTTCTGGGTTTGCACCCAATTTCACTGTTTAGTGATTGATAGAGTATTTTCTTTGAATTGCTTTGCAGGAATACACATGGATACAACACGCAAATACCAAGAAACAAAGCAAATATCATTTTCAAATTATTTTTATTAATCCACAATTGAAGAATCCCTGATGACATGAATGCCCGATTTTATGAGTTGAAATATGAAGTTTGTGCTTATTTGCCTTGTGTATAATGGTACCAGCAAACACCTCGGATTGTATCTGATTAAAGGCCAATCTGTATGATTTTTTATATTGTTTGTTAAAGTAACACTGGAGGAAGGAACTAAAACCGCTTAATCTCATTAAAATAGATAAAGTGCTTGGGGTACCTGGACGCTGAATCGTTTTCAATTTGTTAAACACTGAATGAAGATCCCCGGATGCCCGCTGTCCAGCCCCTCTCTACTGCTTAGGCTCATACTTAAACATTAGTTCAAGCAGAAATAGTTGGCAGTGATAGGAACGCCACCTGCTGGCTCTCAGAGTATCACAGACATCTATTGCTGCTATACACTGGTATAGCTAAGGTGGAGTGTACCTACTCCAAGCAAGGATGTGCAGTAGGCCCCTCATTAGGTGTTAAACTATTTGTGATTTAACATTAACCATGGAATAGGTGCCGTGGATTGCAGACGCTATTCAATTAGACAAAATTGTTATAGTGCTAGAGTGTTTCTTTAAATAACATTTCATATTTTAACCCACATGTTCGTATGATGACATATTTTCATATGTTCGAACTGTTTTGCAGGAAATCACATGTGGGAAAATCGTCAAGTAGTAATGAACTTTTATTAAGAAATTTGTTTTCTATCTATCTATCTATCTTGGGAGCATCATTGGTTCGAAGACAAATTTTGTCTACTTTGTTTCTCTAACTTCTAAAAAACAAACAGATTATTATTATGTATTCATCTTTTTTAAAATTATTTAAATTTGAGTAGCTAAATATCATCCCACTGAAATTTACACTTTGTCTACTATGTTGACTGTTTTTGCTATAAATCTGAATCCAACTTATGTTTTTCATTTTCTTTCTATGTATGCTTGAGAGGTACTCCCTGTACTCGTTGTACTCTTTTAAAGAGCAAACAACCTAAACAAGACATTTTCTTTTAATTCAATGTCATTCAGTTAAATTTATGTATGCAATATGTTAGTGTAAAATTAAATGGTAGTGGCATATAGCTTGTTTTTGTTTTTTTATCCTACCTTATCATCACTGGTGATAAATCCCTACTGACGTATACGTTGTTGTGGTACTTTACTCTGGCAATATTCTTTTAAGTATGGGTCATGCAGGTTATTGTAGGTTGTCTTCATCAAACGACAATATAGATCCTCAAGGTCAAATTATGGACTTTGCTTATAAAGCTGCAAAAACATTATAACATAAAACATTTTTGCACTCATTCTGTAAACCTATTCTGAAGAACACTCATTAGCATAAAACAACCAATATAAAAAATAATTGGAGATTGTTTGAAAGGTTAAACATAGTAGGTTCTAGACTAATGCTTATCCACTTCAGCTATTTTGTTATTTGGTAGAAGAGTTAATAATCTACAATAGAACTAATGATTGATGTGAGATACTAATTCATAAAATCTTTTAATGCTTACTTTAATTGATCATTTTCATGGTTTGGCATTAAATATATAACCCTTTATATCAATCCGTAGCCCTATTTCAATTGTCTTGAAAATATCTGCTTACTAGTCTGGATTAGTATTAAATAATATAAACCGTTTCCGAGAGCTTGGTGGTACAGAACTGGACAGGCTTTTTAGGACACACTGGAAATTTTACTCCAGAAGGAACATTCACAAATTGTTCTGCTGGGGATGCTCTAATGAAATC